AACATAATCAGTATCAATCTCCATAATATGTCTTGCCTAGAGGAGGCTGAGGTACTTGCAGGTATCACCTTTATAATGCATAGCACGATATCTGCTACTTAATAGACATATAAATTCTGGTAGATTGATTGACTTGATTAATCTACTGGTTCACTGGGATTTCTTGATTCAAGCTTGAAGCCTTCAGTTTCTGTCTTTCTTTGGTGTGTGTAAAATCTGAACAATATTTTGACATCATTGGAGAAAGATTCCATACGACAAAGGAGTTGTTGAATATATTATATCGTGGAGCCATATAGCTTGATGGCATCCATTTGTCTAAAATGATTAATAAGACATTTTTATTTGATTCTCTCTTTTATTTGAAAGCCACATTTAGTTCTATTGAGGAGAGATAATAATAAATTTAAGGTTAGGCAAAACCATAATGAACTTAAACTGTCTCTTGAAAATTCCACATTTTAATACGCTTGTTTTTGATATTATGTTGGCAGTGTATTTTAAGGAAGATTTTTGTGAACATCAAATACTAACATCTTCACTATGCAAGAGTTTATTTTATGTATTTTAATTAAGTTAATACGATACAAAACTGAATCAAAGACTTTGTAACAAATAACAAAGGCAGTATAAATATCATAGTATTTTGGGGTGGCTTGTTCAATAATTACTGAATCAATTAAAAAAAGATGCTCTTTATACTCCCTAGGATTTTTTTTTTTTTGCATTTTGATGAGGCAATTGGGGTTAAGTGACTTGGCCAGGGTCATATAGCTAGTAAGCATCAAGTTTCTGAGGCCAGATTTGAACTCAGGTTCTCCTGACTCCAAAGCCCAAGCTCTATCCACCACACCACCTAGCTGCCCCTAACCCTGGGACATTTTAGCACACACTTTTTACTCTTTGTTTTCTTTTAAGTGTTTATGGATTTTCTTTCTAGTGATACAATCTGTGAATACCATCTACAAATGACACAATATGCAACTGTTCTATATTTGCAAGAATCATCAGTAAAATATATGTGATGCTCCTGATTAAAAAAACAAAGTGGGATCAGATTTGTGATTAATAAATTAGTTAGTAATTTATGCAGCACTGTGAAGTATTTGAACCAATAATTATGGTTCTTATCTGGACTCTCCACTTTCCACTTCTGCAGAGGAAAATGCAGCTATCCTATTTGGCAGAGAAGCTACAAATTTCAGTCACCTTCATTGGTGTAATTATCTGGTCATTTATTCATTCTACAAATAGAATGAAAGCTTTCTGTTTCTCATTAAAGCCAAGCTGCATCTTCGTTGTGTGGAATTTCTTGTAATCATAGATGGACAGAAATTTTCCCCATTTTTTTTTTAGGATCTCTCTCTCTCTCTTTTTCTATCTTTCTACATTTCATTGTTTCTCAAAACTCTGTATTAAATATTACGATGATGTTGAAAGATTTGTTTTGCTCTTTGAACTAGTTTGATGCCTTGTGTTACCTTAATATTCTAACATTTGCTTCTAGTTGCTGATGCAAGTAAACTAGAATTATACACATGCTTTTCACCTGAATTCCTTTCTGCATAGATATTTCTTCGTTATGCTTTTAATTGGGCAATATACCATTTAAGTTTACTATTGCTTAGACCAGCTAGACATTGACGTAAACTTCCAGTCCCTTTATGTAGATTTTCAGTAGCTTTCTTGGATCCCTTCTGCCACGTTTATGTTTGATGTCTGTCCTTAAGGGGTTTTCTTTGATAGTTCTACTTTGCTTCCTATGGTTCTTACTATAACAACAGTTAGCAGATATATTGCTGTGTGGAGGTTTTAAAATGTATTTACACTTTTCTAAAAATACTGTGGAGAATACAGTCATTCACTGATGACAGTTATAGCAGATACTAGCTTTGCTAAGTTACTCCGCAATAATTGGTCTGCTAATTGCATTCATACCATCAAACTCAAAAGAACTTTTTATAAGTCCAGAAAAAGCATTCCCATGTCCTTTTCAGAATTATTTCAAATACTTCAGATATATTCAGATACTTCAATGTTTTTTGTCATCTATTTTACTACTAATTATAATTTTTGGAATTTGCATTAAGCAAATATTTTCAGTGGCCCCAAGGTCATAGTTCAGTAGCTCACCAATTTCATCTCGTTTGGACTAACCTTGGCTTAGAGTTGAAGTCATTTCTTATGATTGACCTTCTCTGTTCAGCAATACATTATTACCATATTTCATTTCATAATCATCACCACCACATAATCATTGCACCCTGTTTTTTCAGTCCAAAAATTAGTTTATAACCTTTCATCATGTAATTGTCGCATGATATAATTCTGTTTGTCACGCAATTTAAAAGGCAGACAGAGAAACAATGTATTTACCAGTGGCACATGGAGATGCAGTTATCTCTCTCTCATTGCAAGCCATGAGCTTAAAATTCTCTGCACACGCACATTGTCAGTATATTTCCAAAAGCCGACTCACGTGGTTTGTTTAGGGTGCCACAGTACTAACAGTATTATCACTCAACCCAAATAAAGAGCCATATGCACAAGGGAGCAGGCAGGCAGGTGAAGCAGCCACGAGTAAGTCATATGATATGGTAAGACCTGTATCTTCCTGAGCTAGCTAAACTGTACAGTTCATCTGCCAGCAATACGATCTAGTAATAAATGATTTTTAAGTAATACTGGCCCAAAATTTAAGCTTCACACACCTTTTTGTAAAAATTGGCATAAAGTCTGCAATAGCTATGCAGCGAAATACAGCATGTGATTTGAAGCTCAGGATACCATCTGCCAAAAGCATTACAAAGACTTTCCCTGTAGCTAATTAGATGTGTGTTCAATTTTGCTGGCACTTAAAGATGCTTGTCTTTTTTCATTTCACGTGCATTCATGCCTACTTTAGCGGTCAGCACTTAACCTTCTCTTGGTTTTTTTTTCTTTGTGACACCTGTGACATTAGCTATTGCTGTGGATCATGAGGGTCTGTACTTCCTCGTTTCCCCTCTTTTGGTGAATAGGGAAGGAGTTCAGCTATCAGACCTTCAGTCACACCCTAAGTGGCGTGACGTTCAGAGAGTTTCAAGGAAAATGTAAGTGAGCCCAGAGTTTGAGTTTTAGAATTCTGCTAGGGAGAATTATAAAATCATTCATAAACTAAACTGTGACTCAATAGCCCCTAGGGGGTTCTTTTAACCTCTCATGCTAGAATTATGAGGTTTTGTGTGGATAATCTGTGAAATACAAAACCCCTCAGGACCATTCCTCTATGAATAGTCTGATCCCAAGTAATGACATGCCTAGAGCCAATAAGAATGAATTAATTTATAAAGAGAGAGAAGCAAGATTACAAAATAGACCAACAATGGTAAAGAAATAGGACATAGTTGTCTTTTTTCAGCTTTGCCTACACATGCAGAAGGATGGGAGAGGGGAGGATAAAGAAGAAACTCCTCAGCTGATAGGTTTTATGAAGACAGAAGCTTTCACTACCAATCACGCTCTTCCTCCAACTGGGCTGTTGCAGATCTGACTACTTTGGACGCTGATGCCGGCCACCAGAGGGAGCCCAACTGTTTTTCGACTCCCAATAGATAGTATCTGCCCCCCTTCCCAATCACTGCAGCTTGCCACATTGTATCCCAGCCCTCCTCTGTCTCCATGTCTTGCTACCTCAAGCTATCGTCCCCTCTCAGTACAAATCCTGTGAAGTCATGATAGACATTCCAACCCTCTCCAAGAAAGGCATCTCATCGGTCCGTGGAAGTTTGTGAGAGGTGTTATAATCGAGTTAACTCTCATTAGTGAGGTAGGGGTATAGGAAGGGGTCTATTTAGAAATGACTAATGTAAAAAAGAAAAGGAATCGATTAAATTAAATTGAAATTAAAACAATGTCAAACTTTCAGCCTCCAGAAAAGGGATCGTAGGGTTAGAACCAGAAGGGACCTTCAAGGTCACAAAGTCCAAGCCTCTGATTTCATAGATAAGGAAAGTGAGGCACACAGATGAAGTAACTTGACCGAGGTTTCCATGCAGAGCCAAAATTTGAACTTACCTCTCCTGACTCTGAAAACAATGCCCTCTTTTCCCACTATTTCCTAATGAGTTTATAGGTCTGTTAGCCTCTGGAGTTTGAAGGGCTTGTGGGGCATCAAGACTTTTGAAAGCACTTGCCAAAAGAGAATGTGAACGTGCCCATTAGCACCTTTTTCAGAGGACAAAAGTCAACTCCTAGCTAAGTCTCATTGACTCTGGAGATCTCTAGTCAGGAGATAAACTTTAGTTACTGAGGCTGTGTCCAAATGAATTTTTTAGCTTAGACTACTGGGAAGATACATTCTTGTTGGAAAAGCCACCCCCTTGTACTAGCCTGTAATAGAAGTATTCATCTAGGCTTCTTTTCCCTGTTTTCTTTTTGCCTTTCTCCTGACGGAAATCCTGAAAATCCAGTAGGTGAGGAAGGTGTACTTGGAGGTAGAATTTTAGAAAAAGCTTGATGGGGCTAAGGCATCATTAATGGCTGCCTTAAGGCAGAAGTCCATGGAAGGTACACATGTTTGCACAAGAGGCCTGTGAGTTCCTGACTATCTTTCACCTCTTTGTTCTATTTTGAGTGCTGGTCAGAGACCTGAGACCTGAAAGTGTGAGAGAAGACATGCCCAGCACAGTTGATTGCTTAAACATTCACTTACCACATATACACATACACATACACATAGCCCTGTCCATATACACATGCACATATGCAGCAAATAGAGAGTGAGCTACCAGTTTAGCTCACATTTAGGGTATTACCACTTAATTTAATGTTTCAAGATAGCCCCAAAACAATGCCTCTTGCACTCTCCTATCCTTTTTCTGCTGCCTTGGCAGTAGTAGCCAAAAGGAAGCACATAAGATGAAGAACCATGGGGTTTTTTTTGTCTTTTGTTTCACGAATTTCTTTAATTACTGCCCTACTGGTGATAATCCTCTTCATACTTACTTATGTTGGCTTACCTTAAACACTGGCCATGTGTTCCTGGAATCATAATCAATGTCATTCCAGCATGGTAGAAGGTAGGGTATGGACTACCTTGGCTCAGTCTTCAAGACCCTAGAGTCACCCACATGATAGGATTAGTTTTTGAGATAGAAATTATGAGAAGGGCACTAAATACATGCCTAACACATATCTGTCTATTGTGTGTGGGGGTATATGAGAGAGACAGAGACAGACAGAGAGACTAAGTGAGAAAAAATGAGGGGAAGAGAGAGACAGACAGACAGACAGAAAGTGGAACCAGATGGGAAATGCATGACTATATTTTGTGACAGGTGGTGCAGTGGACAAGAGCAGTGCTTAGAGTCAGAGGACCTGAATTCAAATCCAGCCTCAGATGCTTACTAGCTATGTGACCCTGGGCAAGTCATTTAACACTGTTTGCCTCTATCTCCTCATCTGTAAAATGAGCTGGAGAAGAAAATGGCAAACCTCTCCAGTATCTTTGCTAAGAAAACCCCAGATGGGGTCTCAGAGAGTTGGACACGAATGAAATGATTCAACAACAACAATGCTTTCCCAAAAGTTTTAGAATAGTGAATAGCATTGAACTTACTTTTTTTTTTCTTAATCCACAATAAACAACTGGATGTTGGGGCTGATTGATTATTCATTCTTATTTATTTGCACACTTCTTTTTTTATTTTTTGTTCAAACTTAATAAATATCAAAACTGCAAATATTTAAGAACCCATAGCAGATATGGAATAAAATCATGTATGAACCCATAACATTTAATATAGTAGAAGCAGAGAATTAACAGATGAGGAATGAATATGAAATGTGCTTCCTTTGTGTCGCTCTCCAAGACTACCTGAGGTTTCACTACATTTGGCTCTATCTTCTTCTTTTATGCATAGTTGTATGAGATGTTGCAGTCTGGCTGATCCTATTGTGTCAAAGACTTTTAAAAGCAGTACTGTAAGAAATAAGTACTGATTGACCATTGAGACAGATTTCCCAAACAAACTTGGTGCACTCAGTTACATGTCACAGGGTGTCCATAGATTCTTCATTCCCAGGATCTCATCTCTGAGCTTCACAATTCTTTGACTTCTTACATTTCTCATGGACAAAATCTAGGAGAAGTAAATACTACACATCATCTCTACCTTGACGAACTTGCTTTGCAGCTAGTTTCCTCATAGCAGTTAGAAGAAGGGACCTTACATATGTCTCTTTTTCTATTTTTAATCCTTCCAAGTAGTGATGGAGGGCATTATCCTCAGACCTCCTGTGAAATTCCTGAAAGCGGCCATAATAGTAGTGGATCTCTTGCCTTCTCACATCCTCAAGTTGCTCCATGTGCAATACTCTCTGGAAGTTTTCTTCTGCATTTGTATAGTCACCAGCTTCTGCATACATTTTGGCCAAGTCTATATAAGCCAACACAAACTGAGGCTTGTACTCGATTGCCTTTTTAAAGTGACGCAAGGCTAATGCAATTATTCTGTCAAAAAGTTCTCTCCTTTGAGGATGGCTTTTTAGAGTTCTTTTTATCTGAAGCATTTGATCCTTATAACAAAGTCCCATCTGGTGATGCAGGAGAGCAGATGATGGTATTTCCTGCAAAGCGAGTTTGGAAAAATGAAGAGCTTTCTCTAGGGAGCCTTTTATTCGGTAAAATTTGGCTGCATAGCGAAAGACATAGGGCTGTGATGATCTGGCTTTTAAAGCCTCTTCAATGTACCTTTCTCCCTCCTCTGGATTTTGTTCCTGAAGTTTCAGTGCAAGAAGAGCCTTAATATAAGCATCTTCTGGATTGAGTCTGACTGCCCGTCTTAGGGGTTCCAGAGAAACACTATGAGGATCCCCTTGGAAATAGCTATCCAGACGGTACATCACAATCGCAAATCCAGTGTTAAATTCAGGGTTGTCTGGCTCTAATTGAAGAGCCTTTTGGAAACAGTCTCTGGCCCTTTCATAATACCTCCCTCCAAACTTGAGTAGGGCCCACCCTTCCTCACAGTCAATTTCTGGAAGCTCCACTCTATAGCGGGAGGGACTTGAAAGCACCATGCAACTTTCTTCTACCTTGTCCAGGTAAGTCTGAGCTTCTAGGAGTCTGCCCATGTGATAATAGATCCAAGCATAGTTTCCCCAGACCACAAGACTTTGTATTTCTGCTTGTTCACCATGGTCCTGTTGGATTAATTCTTCAGCCCTTCTCAAGCTTTCCAAGGCTTCCTCATTTTGTCTTTTCAGGTGCTTTACATAGGCCAATGTGCTATATATTCCCACACTGAATTTTGTGCCCAGGAAGGTAATCTCCTGCAAAATTCTGTCCTCTAAATCAGGTAGATCAAGGTCTTCCCTTGGTAAATCCCATGTGAAGTGACATCGCAACTGGACCAGAGCATCCCTCATGGGATTTCTCTCAGACATCTCACTGTGGACACAAAGAGTATTCTATCAGTAGTTGAGAATAGCCAACATTATCACCCCAAACCCTGTAACATCCATTATACTTTCTTTCAGTTCCCTTCCTGCCCTATATTCCTGAGCCATGACTGGATAATAGTGGTTACCCTCTTACTGCTATCTCTTCTTTTAGGGACAGGGGTTCTTAACTACTTTTATGTCATAGTCTGCTTTATCCGTTTGGTGAAGCTTATGACCTCTTCTCACAATAATAATTTTATATGCATAAGACAAGATATAGAGGAATTATAAAGGAAACCAGTTCTAATGATATGTAGTTATCAAACTATTCTTTTAAAACAATTCATGAAACCTAAGTGAAAAACCTTTGTTCTAGAGGGATCAGTACAGGTGTATTGCTGAAATATGTCCATATCTCCATATCACTCAAAGCTCTATGTAGTAGAGAGAAGGAAGCAAGAGTTTCAGGAACCTCCCTTTCTTACCTGCAGGAGCTGATATCTCACCCTCTGTAAGTGAACTACTATGGGAGGGGTTTTGAAATTAAAATTAGTCAATTTATGAATTCCTTTCTTGTGCCAGAAAGGAAAGAAAGAAATAAACATTTAAATAACACCTACTATGTGACAGGTACTATGCTAAGTGCTTTACAAATATCTGTGTAAAGTCACCAGCCTCAGTCCCTCCCCTGGAGCCATCTGGGTCCAGTGGCAAGATACAGATCAGGAGGACTGGAGATGGCCCTGGATGCTTTTTAAGCTCAAGTCTTTCCCAGACCTATTTCAAGCAGAGTCAGATGTGGTTTGTCACAGGATATAAAGACACCCATGACAGCACCCCAATGAATCCCTTACTTAGCAGGTACATGGGGGCTGGGGAGTGGGATGGGGCTCCTCAGGACGGAAAATCTTTGCTTGCTTCTGCACAATCACAATCTCCCCATGTCAGGGCAGGTACCCTAAGAGGCTAAAATATATGTCAGCTCATCCTGACTGAGATGAATGAAAAGCCTGAGAAACAGAGTTTCTGGGTAATTAATAATCAATTTATTAATTAGGCTAGCACATAATAAATCTAAATCAGTGGTTCTCTCAAAAAGCGAAGACCCTGCATGGAAGCTACTGAATGTTAAAATGCCCTTAGAAAAGGGGGTGTTCCTGAGGTTGAAAATCAATTCTGATTGGTTAACATTTAAAGAGAGAATGAATATTATAATGAGAGGCCTGGGGGTGGGGAATAACTTGACTTTGATTATGTCAACACTCTTGGGCAAAGAGACTCGTCTTCACCCAGACCACTTAACCAAGGCCCCTTCCAGCTCTGATATTTTACAAACTCTTGTTATAATATAAAGTATGTCCTTATAACATATGTATACCATCTAAAATATGGGGCTATCCAGAGCAGGGAAGAATAATGAATAAATTAATGAATTGTATTTCCACTCCTGTTCCGCAAGCTAATTAAGTTATGGTTTCTCAATCAACCAATCAAAAAGTACTTTCTGAGCTTCTACTAAGGGATAATCACTTGTTATGGGAAACAAATGGCAGATAAGATAATGGTCCTGGCTCACAAGCGATCTTTATTCTTGATTTCTGCCATTAATAAATGAAAGTGTCTTCACATTTCATATCCCAAAGCCAGGCTGAGCAAATATGCTGGTATTAGGCAGTCTTTTAGATAAATGGGACCTAAGCACTGGCCTAAAAGCTAATCCTCACTGCTAATCACCTACTTGGGCTAACTGACCATGTTTATTGAATAATGCAGCAACCTGAAACTTTACCTTCTCTAGCACAGACACATTTACCTTCCTATTGAAATGCAGCTCTCCCAGAGATTCAGAAGAAAACACATCATCCTGGGATAGCGATCAGTACCTGATTGAATTAAAATCAGGATGTGGGTTGACTAACCACTGGAAAATTAGCCTCCCTGGCTGGATAGGCAGCCAACTTTAATCAGCTTATCTGGTCTACAATGCTGCCTACTCAGGTAAGTCCCATGGGCATAATCCTGGGCCATCAGGCATACAAACACCAAATATTTTCATGTCCCATTAACTCTAGTTAAAGCCAAAGGCAGCCTAGTATAGTGGTAAGCACATTTGAACTTGGAATCAGAAGACATCGATTTGAATCCCAGTGTTGCTAGGTGATAGTTATTTGACTATCAATAAGTTATTTAACCAATGATATCAGGAGGGTAACGTCTTGACTTGTGTGTGAATTGGATTTAAGTGAGTTAGAGCTCCACAAAAGTCATAAGCCTCACTCTCTCCTCCAGAGTCATCCAAAGTCCAGTGGCAAGACAAAGCTAAATGGACTGGTTATGTGCCCAAGACAAGTGAATGTCTTTGGCCTTTCTAAATTAAAGTCTTTCGGAGGTCTCAGTTTGTCTGAGGCAAAGCCCCTTTAATGACTAAGGGCTAGATAAAAATTAGGACAAAAGAGGGCCTAATTTACCCACAAAAATATCAGTGTGGGAGGGTAAGAGTCTCAAAGTTTCTGGCCAGAACAGGAAAACAATTGCTATTTACAGTAGTTCTAAGCTATCAAAAGCTAAACAATGAGCCACAGAGGCTTGGGCTGGGGGCTACTACTGGCCATTCAACAGAAGCCCAGAGTAATTTGGTTTTAAAGGTATACTCAGGTAGCACCCTTTGAAAC